ACAAATGTGGTGTAATGACTTAGCTACAGTAATACCTTAAAAATAATGCCTAGCTCCCAGATATTTTTAAGGGAGTTTGCAAGCTTGTGCGCGTGTTGACCACAAACTGCTATGATCTATTCGCCTGGTTCTCACTTCCGCTTTATACCATACAGATTTTTGAGCCAAAAAAACGGCATTTTGAAGAGGATACAATGCTCTAAAAAACCAAAAAAGGACCGACAAAATCATATGAACATATATAAAGAATCTAAAAAGAAAAAGCTACATAGCTTGAAAATTTGCACCATGCCCGATCTACGAGAACTGTTCGTGTACTATATTCGAGGCGCAACCTTTCTTACTTAATGGTTTTGGCAAATTCCCCAATACCAGAACCAGAATTATCGAAGGCCTTTATCGCTGGTATTTGTGCCGACAAAGCAGACAAATCAGCCCCAACTGGGCGATAATAGCATACGAGAGCAATATGGAAATAATAATGGACGGCCCTCCAAAAATTCTCATACCATTGCGTGGACCATCCCTAAAAAGTGACACGACGTTTTCAACCACTGCATAAAAAAATGGTGACATCCATAATCTGTATGTGGACAACCTCTAATTTATCGAAAAAGCATTTCTAGCTCCCAGACAGCCAGCAGAAAAACGCTATAAATAAAGAGCTATATTTTCATATCAAGGTTAGAATTACTCCTCCCCGGTCTACGGTTGTTCCATCCATTTTTTAGTGTTGTTGAATTGTGACTTTTCTCGGGTTCACCTTGTGATGATTTGTGATCAAATTTATCGTGATTTTAATAAAAAATTGTATATACGTACCTTACACACGTTATTAAATACTTTTCGCATGTCCAGGAGCGCATGAATAATCCCTGCTAAGCGGTAGCAGCTTTGTGCTTTTTTTTGTTAGTCTTAAAGAGTCAGCTTTTCCAGACTTCCAAAACGTATTTTACATGCTTAATAAGCCCTAATAAATATTCTTATTAAGCTTAACTTGATTAATGATTGACAAGATCAAATACAAATTTTAGATCTTAGAAATTCAGATTTTTAGTTGGGTTATACTAACTTAATAGCTACTTTTCTTGAGGTTCTCAGCCTCCCGTTGTCTCTCGTGCTCACGGCTCTCGGATTTCTCTATGCCCTCCCCTCTCCCTCACTCTCTTCCCTCTGCTCCCCTTCGCCTACCTCGCAGCCCCAAAATCCTGGAATTCGATGCTATTCCGGTATTATGCAAATTTACAGTGAATTTTAAAAGTTATGATGCTTCCTTAAGTTATTACACGTTATCATACCTAATCCACCCAATTGCTATGCCTTTGCATAACCAAATGGACCGCCGATTTTCATTGGCTAATCGGTTCGCCGGTTGCCCGATCGGGACTGTACGGTTCCGCGATGCGACTATAAAACTCTGTTCGCTACATTTTTATGTAATCTAACGCTTTCTTCAATCTTTCAGATATAGTTGATTATATCCAACATTTATTAGCATTTCCCCCTTTTTCAGGAGCCTCGGCTTGTCATGCTTGCCTTTGAACCAGTCGGCTTCAACAAAAGCCGAACTATTCAACTCTTCATTTAACATATTTTAAATAGTAAGTTAACGTTTTCTGTGCATTCAAATGCTGGAAGATGAATCGAAAATTCTCATCATGAGTTTTAGTCAATTTTCAGCATTATTTTTAGTAAACCATCACAATGACGGAAGCCGATTACGGCATTGCACATGAAAACTGAAGCCGTTATATCGTTTTCCGGACGGTCATCCTCATTATGATGATAGAATTGCACGATGCGGCACTTCATCAAATGATGCGTCCGGCCAAAATACGGAATGCAAATAGAAACACCTATGAACTGTGTGAGTCAATATTTATTAAAGGTATTTACAGCATATTTATGATTACTGGCAGTCAGTGAGCCAGTGTGTGGAGGGGAGTGAGAGAGAGAGGAGAGGGGGGGGGAGAGGAGAGGGGGGAGGGGGAAAGAAAGAGGGGGGGGGGGGGGGGGGGAGAGGGGAGAGGGGGAGAGAGAGAGGGGGAGGGGGGGGGGGGGGGGGGGGGGGGGGGGGGGGGGAGAGAGAACGAGAGAGAGAGAGAGAGAGAGAGAGAGAGAGAGAGAGAGAGAGAGACAGCGACAGAGAGACAGAGAGCGAACCTCCACCCTCCTTAATTCAGCTTTTCAGACCATTCCGTTGGCGCGAACTGAAGATAAGGTTACCACTACTAGGGACCCCAAGCAATGAGATCGCAAAACCGTCCAATTTTTTATACCCGTTCATAGGCCTGTTCCATCTAATTTCATCGCGACTCGAATTTTTAATTTTTCGTTAAAAACTCAAAAATTTTTGAAAACGCCATCGGCTAATTCACATATGAACTGAGCGCGGCCTAGGGTCAAGCCATTAAGGATTACTGCACCAACTTAAGAAAAAAAATGATCTTGGGAAAGCATGATGGTCGCAAAGGAGCTTACGGCCGACCTAGACCTGCAAGAAAGTTCCCCCATAACGTGGGCAATATGAAAGAAAGGAAAGAAGAATGTGCTAATGACAGTCGATTGAATTGAAAAATGGCTAAGCCCTGGGAAAAGCGGACCGCTGGAGCCGCTTTTTCCCGGACAGACCCAAATTCGCACCAATCGGTGAATGGCCCGACCCAATGGTCAATAAAATGGAAAAAAAACCCGACAATAAAAGGGCACACCCACAACGAAACACCACAATTTTGGTAACGTCGACCGCGCTGAATTTAGATTCCGTGAATTCCGTGATTATTACACGTTTTTGCCCTGGTCACGCAACGTATCCTATGGGCGTAACGGCCCCTGTTGGGGCGCGAATCACCAAGGACACCTACAACAAAAACAACTTAAAATCCGCCCGTGAACGACAACACCCAACATGCGTTAGAGATCACCCTCACGAGTGTAAATGCCATTACACATTTAATTAAAAAAATTCTCGGTTTTTTGAATAGTAAAACATGCGCGTCCTGCATAACTCAAGAGCACCCAGACAACACGATCTGTTCCCCGGATACCGTACGAAGAGTAGTGATCACCCACATTTATTTTTCAATAAATCCACTTAAAATTTCAAAAAGAATTCGTTCGGACGATGCGATATAAGACACCGATCGCATGAGAATGAGAGATTGGAAAAGGCGAATTGAAAAACTTACTAGGCGAGTAAAAGAAATGGCAGGAATGCATTACAAAATTCAGAGCCTACGAGATTATTTACCTTCAACATTAATTTGCCACATTATACGCGCAGTTTGTAAATAGGATGGGATTGTCCGTTCGCGTCCGAGCCCATGGACGCTTTCCTTTCCCAAAGAGGAAGTATAAATCGGGAACCATCCAGGCTTTGCCTTATAAATAAAAAACGCAAATTTGGAGCGAAATGTCCGAAGCAGATCCGTTCATTTCGCAGAAGCGCGCTGGTACGGCGTCTGTCCCAGATGCCTGGGCAGTGGTGATTACCGTACGAGAACATCGTACTACCTTAAGAACATACTTAATTATTTCTGCTACTCCATCCTCTTAAAAGTTAAATAAAGGGTATACAAACCATTTAGGGAGCTCAAAAATTTTGAGAAACCTAATAGTAAAATTAAACTCATATGTAAAACATTATAGCAGTTTTAACCCAATTTACAGCTTTTACTTTCCGCGATTTAAATTGGATTCACAAGTGCACCATTCCTAATGAACAAGTTTTAAAAGTTATACCCTACCTTGACCCGAGCAAGATGAATTGTGTAAGACAAAGCTAACCAGCCGTGGAACCCTACCACCAAATGGTAGCGGTTATGCGGGTCGAATGACCGAGCCAACTACGAGCATTGAGAAAATCGCAAGAAACGAGCAAAAAAGAAGGCGGCAGACACCGAAGTGCCAACATGGACGATGATAGACGAGGCCACCACGTTTGTCCAAAGCCAAACAGCAAAACAGATCGAGGCAATAGCAAGGCTGAGGAATTAATTGTTTAGAGTAAAGTTATGTAACATTGAAGCAAGCGGCTAGTGCCCTGAACACACAGTTGTCCGAATATGAATTTAGCCAAAAGACGGGGAGGCAAACAGAGAAAAGGCAAAGAAGCTACAATAACCGCCAAGGCGCAGGTGCCACTCTCAGCCCTGTCATCCATAAATTTGGATTGGATTTGGATTCGGAAAGAATTCCAAGAGGCAGGAGGAACATATCAAATATCGTTTTCAACGCGTTTCGTTCGGTATAAATTGTGCCCCTTACATCATGAACGTGACACTATAATGGGGTCCCGATAGATATTACCAAAAACAGCACCTTGGCTTATTAATGCACTCAAATAGACATGACATACGACGATAATGTCAATAACGTTAACTGCTGCGAACTGTGATCGTACGGCCATCAGACAATACTTCCTATTACCTGTGCTACCCCATACCCGAAAAAGTTAAATCAAGGTATAAAATAACTAAATACCTCCCTGGCCACAAGTACTATTTATATAGATAAACACACTCTCTATCACAAATTAGTTAGCTTACCGCGCAGCGAAACGTTTAAAGACATAATCCTTCTGATGCTACGCACCACCAGCATTATCCAATTTTACAGCCTCCCCTCAATTTTTTGAACTTGTTTGTGATTTGCGATTTTCCAGCAACTAATCGAAATTTAACGCGTCTTAACGCATGTGAACGGCGTCGTAATGAAGTGGTGGGTCACCAAAATAAATCGTTTCATCTCATCGCTGTCAACTACTTACACGATGCTGAACTAAAATACGCCCAGTAGAATGACTATATAGGCAGTGTTTTCTGTCGCATATGTGGGCCGTTTGTGCACGTATCAGCCTTGAAATTACAACCCAATTTTTTTTTGCTCGACACGCCGTTTTTCTTTGCCACTCGGTTTAGGTCTGTTTCGATGCTCGATATTGTAATACCGCAAAAATACCAAGTTCATGGTTCTCGAGGCTAACTTCCTTGGCCGGTTTAAACAATGGAATTTGTGGTTCTCGAGTGCAGTCGTATTCGGCTCTGCAGTCCTTTTGCTGTGTTCGGATCGGGTAGTCGCAACGCCACGGCGGTGGATAGCTTTCTGAATAATTGGTATTGAATTCTGGAACAGAAACTTTTCACATCCAAAGAGACTAATGACATATTTCCAATAGGGCTCCGTAAAGAAAAGGATTGAGATAGACGAGACTGTCGCATGGCAGGCGTTGCACCACATCGCGAAGTTGAGGTACGCTGAAATAATAGGCTTTGGCCAATAAGCTAATTTTTTGCAGTAACAGTTTTGTTCATAGTTTGTAGTTTCAAATCTGGTAGTTTGAACATCCCCTACCCGGGTTAATGATCCAGTCGGTGATCTGAACCAAGGCATAAAATCCCCATGGGCTTAGGAGCGTCAAGTAGGGGATGGCCAACTAGAGAACTTTGAGGAAACCGGTTTGAAGAGCACCTGTAAAATCAGCGCGGTCATGAGCTTTTTCTGAAGTCGCCGTGTTTGTGGGCTAATCCGAACATGACCATTCAGCATCCAGAAGGCGTGCACCACCAGAAAGCCTGCCTAAAATAAACCTAAATTCCGCTCTACGTTAAACTTATTTAAACTAATAAAAACCAAGACGGAAATGTTTCATATTTACTATTTTTTATGCGATCTAGCTAACTAACAACGCAATTCCCCTCCAATATAAGCAAGAATCCAATGGCACATGCATTCATTTGCAGCGTCAACCCGGCGAGGGGATAAATCCCTGAAGCATCTCCCGCGAAAAAACTCATCGTGTTCGAGCACAAAGCTGTACTGTGGGTAGCTCTAAAGAATTATTGGTTCTGATGAATATTTTATTTCAAAATATCCGCTAGCGAGAAGATAGATCAGAAACTTTTAGTATTTTCCGGGTGATGGGTCCATCACCCAGCTCATCTCTCCCTAACGATAAGGTGTGCACGAAGAAACCGTCGTAAAATAGGAGATGAGCCACGAACACCAACACGATTAATGGAGTAGGGATCCTGCAAGAAATTTCTGATTTTGCTCAAATCCCGGTAGCCAAAAAGGGATCCGAACCTGGAAAAACCAACCGGAACAAATGCCCGGCGGGCAGAATTTGGCGATGTCGGTAGACTAGGCAATGCGTTGTGGCACCAACCAGGTGAAAGATCACTACAGCACCAATTTCCTGAAATACCTTGTTGGAGGTCGCTCCTAATTCAAGATTTTTTTGTTTCCACTCTCGATTAATTTCCTTCGAAAGATCACTTTCATGCAAATTAGTTTATTATAGTGATGGTATTATTCCACTCTCAAATCTAATTTGCATCAGCCGAAGCAAATCTGCCGCTTTCATTTGAATAAGGTTTTAGTACTTCAAATCAAATCGATTTGATTTGGACCTCCGGGGTTTGAGTTCAAATCTGAAGATTTGAAGAGGATTTGAAAGGAGCCGAAAAAATCCATAGATCAAGGATGCTAATTTTATGATGGCCTGCATAATCAAGGTCATTTCCTGTTCGCGGCAACTCGGCAATAGCGATTTTCTTGTTTTTTACAAGCCGGCATTTCCATAAGATTTGATTAAGGACCGGAAGCTTAATCAAATCCTCAGGATTTGACTTTAACTCATCCACTGGGTTTCAAATCAACTCCACCGATTTGAAATTGAAATTTTTGCCTTCAAACATTCAGATTTGAGCTGGCTCTGACTCAAGGTTTGATTTGAATAACCCCATCACTAGTTTCTTGTCCCGACGTGATCCGCTTAAGCGAATACGAGCGTCGCATTCGCTTACAGGGTGTCCCAATAAGAAACACTCCCATCTAACTGGTAGTTTGACAAAATCTCGAATTACAAAATCTCGAATGACAAAATCTCGAATGACAAAATCTCGAATGATCAGAATCTCGAATGATTAGAATCTCGAACGATCAGAATCTCGAATGATAGAACGAATGATTAGAATCTCGAATGATCAGAATCTCGAATGATTAGAATCTCGAATGATTAGAATCTCGAATGATTAGAATCTCGAATGATCAGAATCTCGAATGATCAGAATCTCGAATGATTAGAATCTCGAATGATCAGAATCTCGAATGATTAGAATCTCGAATGATTAGAATCTCGAATGATCAGAAGCTCGAATGATCAGAATCTCGAATGATCAGAATCTCGAATGATCAGAATCTCGAATGATTAGAATCTCGAATGATCAGAATCTGAATGATTAGAATCTCGAATGATCAGAATCTCGAATGATTAGAATCTCGAATGATCAGAATCTCGAATGATTAGAATCTCGAATGATTAGAATCTCGAATGATCAGAATCTCGAATGATCAGAATCTCGAATGATTAGAATCTCGAATGATTAGAATCTCGAATGATCAGAATCTCGAATGATTAGAATCTCGAATGATTAGAATCTCGAATGATCAGAATCTCGAATGATCAGAATCTCGAATGATTAGAATCTCGAATGATCAGAATCTCGAATGATTAGAATCTCGAATGATCAGAATCTCGAATGATTAGAATCTCGAATGATTAGAATCTCGAATGATCAAAATCTCGAATGATTAGAATCTCGAATGATTAGAATCTCGAATGATCAGAATCTCGAATGATTAGAATCTCGAACGATCAGAATCTCGAATTTACAGAATCTCGAATTTACAGAATCTCGAATGACAGAATCTCGAATGACAAAATCTCGAATGGTCAAAATCTCGAATGAACAAATCTCGAATGCCAGGATTCCCACTGATATACTAATCTAATTTCGTCTGGCTCGATCCAGCATCGATTTTTTTTTGTATTAGATAGAAGCTAGTAGGCTGTGAGTATGCCCAGCCGAGGGATGGTCCTTTTTGAGCATCATACTTTACAAATGATAATGAAGAACATTAGTGTTAAGTCGAAAAATTTGTTTTTTTTCGACGCAAAGGGCTCAAATTCTTGAAGTCTTTAACTTTTAGATAGTGTTGCTACAGCTATTGATTGCCAAAACCTCCATAGAAAAAGTTTGGGTTCAATTACTGGGCCGCTAGTGGAAATTTTCATCCAAACTGTGTTCTGCTGAATCGAAGTTTTGTTCATTCGAGATTTTGACCATTCGAGATTTTGTCATTCGAGATTCTGTCATTCGAGATTTTGTAAATTCGAGATTCAGATCGTTCGAGATTCTTATCATTCGAGATTCTGTTCATTCGAGATTCTGTTCATTCGAGATTCTGATCATTCGAGATTCTAATCATTCGAGATTTTGTCATTCGAGATTTTGTCATTCGAGATTTTGTCATTCGAGATTTTGTCATTCGAGATTTTGTAATTCGAGATTCTGATTGGCAAGCATCTAACTCGACGCATAAGTATCGGATCGGAATGATAGTTACACCATTCGAAAGCCCTTGAAACGGCGAGTTTGCAACAATCTTCAAAGCCAGCTTTTCATTTATTTCTATCTTACAACACATCTAAAAACATTTAAGAACGGCCTCTGCATCTAATTGACGGCCACCTTCGATCAATTTGCTTGGAGAAATTGAGGCCAATTAGCTCGTATGCTCGTATTTTAGACTTTTAAACAACCCGAAAAATCGTAAAACAAAGAAAACAGACAGTACGTCCCGAAAAATCGTAAAATTTTACAAAATGGCTTGTAAAATAGCGCGTTTCAATAAAAACATTGTTTTGAAGATTTTTGCAAACTGGCCGTTTCAAGGGCGATCGAATGGTGCCACTATCATTCCGATCCGATGCTTCTGCGTCGAGTTAGAAGAGGGTGTGTGTTTTTTGTTGGGACACCCTGTAGTACTAGTCCTAATTCGAATACGATGATCGAGTCGAAACCAGGAAATTTTTGAACATAAAATGCCTATCTTAACGTCGCGACGGTATGAGTAACATCTCTAATCTCAATCGATAAATTCAGAATCGTAGTATTCTGTCCTCCGTACACTTACAAATGCCCGGATGGCACCGATGCCAAATACCGTATATAACCATCCCGTCATGCGAAGAAACAGGGTGGGAAAGAAGGTCTGTGGCTCGGTGGAGTGGACGAACCATTCGAATGCGATAGACCAGAACTAAAATTTCAAGATCGTTTTCAAAAGTTGCGAAATACCTCTGGTTAAAAGGTTACATGTGTTTTTTATGCCCAAATAGCCGAAAATTGCTACTTTAAATCCTGATATAAATTCCATAAAATATTTTGCAGTTTCGAAACGCCCACCTGATAATAAAGCAACAAATATTTGTATTTTCGCATCGACGGTGGGGATTTTCGCCAGATTACGTACATGGTCAAAGCATTCAGGAGCGTCCCAAATACAAATGTGAAACGCATAAAGAAGATGTAGTAGATTGGCTCTTCATAGGTGAGAGCCGGCATTTTCTTCGGTGCGTTCCGGCCCAATGGAATCCCAGATTCGGGCGCGGTTCCAAGCACGCGGCAAGCAGTGTTTCGATGAGCTGTGTATAGTCTAGTTTTTCTTAGGGTTTTTTAGCACCTGGAATCGCGCACGAGGGGTGCACTTTATGGCAAGCATCACCACTTTTTGAGGGATCGGCTCGATAAGTACAGATGATGATGTCTTGCCTAGTGAGACCAGATGACTGAAAATCAAGAAAACAAATTTCTCGTAAACCCAGGGACAGCCAACTTGAAAAATCCGGATGCCGCTCTCTATCCCGAAATTTCCAATCCCGAAACTCTCTATGCCGAAACTCTCTATCCCGAAACTTTTCTATCCCGAAACTCTCTATCCCGAAAACTCTCGTTCGCGAAAACTCCCAATCCCGAAAGCTTCGTATCCCGAAAACTCCCTTTTTCCGAAACTCTCTATCCGGAAACTCAGCATTTTGCGTTTCCTAACGCCCTAGATCCTTGATGGCATCGGAAAATAATTTTATCAAATTTCCGATACCGAAAAATAGCGGAAAACTATTTACTTCAAAGATTTAGTCTGGTGTTCGGTACGTTAAAGCTAGCTAACTTGTTTTGGGATATGGAGTTTCGGGATAGAGAGTTTTCGGGATACGGAGCTTTCGGGATTGACAGTTTTCGGGAAAGAAAGTTTTCGGGATACAGAACTTTCGGGATAGAGAGTTTCGGGATAGAGAGTTTCGGGATTGGGAATTTCGGGATTGAGGAAACACCCCGAAAAATCCACCCGAGAATTGGGGGAATCGTATTTGTATTCCTGTTCATAGTTTTAAGAGAGATTTTTTCGAGAGATGACATCATGTTTGGGGAGCCGCACGCACAAGAAATCTCGTATGTTGCTTTATTCGCTATCAAAAATGGCCAGGGCGAACGGAAATTTGTGGGCGGGGGAAGACAGATTTCGATGATGGTTTTTTCGCTTCTGGCGGCCCGGTCCTCCCTATTCGTCCAAGGCGAAGAAGCGATGGGCGTCGCCGGTCTTGTACGACTCGAGCAATCACCAGACTTCCTGCTTTTCGTTGGACCAGATCTGAAAAAGCAAAATGAAAATGAGCGGTTCAGCCGGATGGGCTCTCTCAGAATGTTTTTTTCACGCTGGCAATTTTTCCGAAGAGCTTGCCCAATTATAGTCGAAGCACAGCGAAGCGCAGATGGCCTAAAAACCGTTGGTTTTGCTTGATGGGAAGTGTTCTTACAAAATCGCAGAGGACAACGCGGCGTCCTAAATTACCCTTGTTAAAAAAATAGCTTATTTTCGACCCGAATTTTGCGAACAAAAAAAATTTTTAGGATAAAAAAGGGTCGGCGCTTCATTTGTTTGGTTGGTTCCAGATGGTTCCAGTCGCCTTGCGATTGCAACCATCTGGCCTTCGGGCTACCCTACATGTCCCACTCCAACACATCCTTTCCGACCTCCATCAATACGCCCATAGCCGAAATCCCGTTCAAAAACTACCTAAATACCTTCCTGATGGCTTTAGAAGATTTAAATAATTAATTAACATAAATAAAAAGTATTAAAAAGTATTAAAGTAACTTAAAAAAGCTATCTGGGTGCGGGACAGGGCCTGGCCCGGGGGCAGGGGAAAGGGGGCGTGGCATGCCGGGAAAGGGGCCCCCTCCTTTTACTAAGGAAAAACTTTCAAAGTTAATTTTAATAGTTTAAGCTAAAAGTTTTTCATAATTTTTTATCAGTTTCGGGGTTTCTGACCACGCTCTATCCGAATCCGAAGAGAGCTAAGCTCTAGCTTCTTTCCCCTTCGTGTTGAATTCGGCTTCACACACACGGACAGACACCACAGCAAAATTATTATAGTAGATAGAAGATACGTCATTTCTACCCGAAAAAAATTCTTTGCGAGTTGCCCCTCTCGTGCTCACTGCTCTCTGGCTCATTTCTCTGCACCCTCCTCCTCTCCTCGATCTCTCCCGGTCTCGCCCCAGTTCACCCAAATAACAACTCCCGAATATCGGAGACCGATGTTATTCATACTTTTTAACGCGTCTATGCTTATTTAAAGAAGTTATAAAGTTCCTTAAGTTATTAAACTTTATTTTACCCATTCTAAACAATATACTAGACCCCTGGCATAACCAAATGGCTCGCAGCTTTTCATTGGCTAATCGGTTCGCCTGCGGGCCTAGCTGGACTGTACGGTTCCGCAATGATACTCAAGACATAGCCTCTACCTTAATTTTCTATTATGTAACAATCACGCAACGTTTTCAATTTCTTGTTTTAAGATCTTATGAATTTTGATGGCCTTTTTCTTTTTCAGGAGCACCGTCTCCTCATGCCTGGCCTTGGACCAGCCGGCTTCATCAAAAGTCGGTTTCAGCAAAAATGAAATTCTTCATTTCGATAGTTATTAAATGGTAAGTCCTTTATTGATGGTACCAACTATAAGATAATTACCAATTTTATTTCAGGAAAACACCAAAAATACTATAAGCTTTTCCCTGAGCCTGAGAAGAGACTGCCCGTCATCTCGACGCCAAAATGATACCTAAAGAAAAAGTGATGGTTTGTTTGACATAATTTAACCTTGTTTTTCTCAGACAACTGCATCAACGAGCTGAACATGCCTAAAAATGTGTGCAATTGCGCACTTCACGCTTTATGGGGAGTTCGTCTCAAATGCCGGCCAAAAGTTTGAATATCTCAAGCGTTTCTATCTCTGCCTATCTCTGCTCCTGATAATTCGTGGTTGAACAAATGTATTGCATTTTGTGATAGTGATTCCCTCATCCCCCGGAATTCCGTATTGCGTGGACTAGACGCCCTCCGAGAAGCCTCGAACTGATCGGCCTGACAGGGCACGAAAAATGCTGTCACTGGCGAGCAAAAATTGCCTAAGCTTCCTCAGAAGACCCGGAAAGGTTAGAATGAGGGAAGGAAGATCAGCGAGAAAATGATCCCAGCAAATCAAAAAATAAAACCGACGCCCAATTGAAAACGTGAAGATCGGCAAAGAATAAAAAAGGCTTAAATAGTGCTGCAAATACGCTGCCCTGCAAACGATCAAAAGTACGGCCGAATACTCAGCGCGCGGACACACGGAATCAATTTGCAAATATAATAGACTGGCCAAATCGTCAAATAAATAAAATGAAAGAGGCTTAGGTCGTTTTTTATTTTCGTCGCCCCCCACCATATGGTATAGCTGGGCCTGCAGGCCCAGCTATTCCCCCAGTAGCCACTTCCCAACCCGCCCCATCTGTTCCCCCGGCAGCTGACCCATCCGGAATTCTTAGCCCCCTAGATCTCTTTGATCTCGAGATTTAAAAAACTTACCTTTGTTTTGAAACTATGACTTCTATGATACGCTCTTGTAATCTTGATGTAATCTTCTATGATTCTTTTACTTTTCAACATTTTCAACATAAACCGTAGAAGAAAATCACATCTCATCCAAAGGCACCCAAGCCGTAGCACGGGGACCACAATAATAGCAGCGAGCCATAAATAACAGAGCGATTAACATCAAACCCATCCAAACAAAAATCACGAAACTCGCAATCGCCCAATCGAAACTAAAATCAGCCTCGTCAATCGGCTTTCCCTCCAACTCCAAATCTCCAAATTCACAAGCCCGCTTTCCCGTAGATTTAACTAAATTTAATAATTTTTAACGGCCAGCCAGGAAATGCCCCACGTCAACAATAAAAACGATCGCCAAAGCACCTAGCGAAGCCTCACTATGCGGTTTCTCGACCCACAAGTTTAACACATGTCCCTTCCGCGTAGACAAACGACAGCACTGCCGTCGAGTAACATGTAATGGCCGACTACATCACCGAAATCTCCCGCACGGCCCGCGTAAGCCTAACCCTGAATCTCATAACGTCCCTGAAAATCCCCTAGCACATCCTCGCATCTGGCTACCCTCGACTTTGACCTCGACGGCCTTTAGATGTTTTTCTCGTAAATAACGACCAGAAACCCGAATTTCTAGTATTTTTTTATTTCAGCCATTTTATATAATCATATTGTATCTTGAAAGGTATTTAAACATGTTGAACGCAATAAAATACTTGGAAAAATGAAAAAACTGAATAAAAACAAATCAATAGAGTCAACACAAAGATCACATTAAACAATTGTCCAGAGTGTGTCTATACACTAACCAGTCTACAGGTGTGTAAAGTATACAAAAATGTTTGTCTTGCTCTGGCGAGTATTTTTGTACTGAACCTGAACCACAACCGATCACAGGTTGTCCCAGTAAACGGCACGGACAGATCGGATCGGAATGATAGTTCAACCATATGCGTTTTTTTTACCTTTGGCAAGCACATTTCAGCAACATTTTATTTCCATCAAGCACTAAATCTCTTCCAATCTTTTACAAATCCCGTCGAGCCCAATGATCCGTTCGATCCACCCACAGAAGCGGTACGTGTCGGTAAATGCGGCTGGAAAATTTTAGCGCCTGGATTTTTGGTGCCAACTTCTACCGTATTCATTATTGTCGTATTGACAGTTGCCGGGACCACGGCTGATGATGCCCACTTGGATGTTCTTGAATTTGCCGGATTTTTTCGAGAAGTATTCGCGCACGATCGGACCTCCGGAATCACCCTGGAAAATAGGGTGGTGATTGGTTGTAGACGATCTATGGAAAATAGCCAGCAACGCTCGCGACGCAGCCACATCACCTCTAGTCACATCCGCAGATTCTCTCACTCACCTCTCATTCACCCCTAGTTTAGAGGCGAAAAGCGAGAATCTGCGGATTCGGATGCCATTCCTGTAATCGCGACGCCACTTTAAACTTCCAAGATATTCTAATTCCCAAAATCGGTATAAAAATTTAGGCGGTTCAGGGTTGAATTGGGCAAACTTTGGCTGACCACCCCCTCAAAAACCCACCGGACATGGTCCCCTTAAAAATCCGGAAGCGCAGATCATCAGCTGCATATAGTCGGTCGGGAACTGTCGGGTGCATTCCTTTTCGGACATGGCTGTCATCGGGGCTGATAGGAGTGAAGGCATCATTACCGGAACTTAAATCGATAGCTTGAATTTGCGGAGCATTGAAGAGTAGTATGAGCCTTTCCTTAACCGGATACCTGGCTCCCGGGCCCATTTATGCACTAATGGATGAGAAATCGCGTTTTTCGTGTCGTGTTTTATTAAAAGCCGGTAGTGTACCGCATGATAGTGCAGACCGTACCTTACCAGACCCCTACAAGGTTTGTATCCTAGCGTACTCTATACGCTGGACATGCCGACTCACACATGTTCGTGTAGCCCCAGCCCATTATCGTAGCCTTTTGACCGGCCGGCCACAGCTTCTCCTTGGCGTTGTTGACGAGAATGGCCGGGCCCACCTGGCCTCCGTAGGTCAGCTTGGTTTTTAGCTGAAACGTGGCTGGGATATGCATTAATCATAATCAACATTCGATGCATCAAGGTGTGAAACATACCTTAAGGACAGCAATGTCGTTATAGAACCAAAAATCACTGCCTCGCGGCGTCTTTCCCGATTTGTTAACAAAGCCCTCGTGCATGATGACTTTTGTTACATCGATCATTTGCTGAAATTTAGAAAATTAGGGTTATAAAGAGCGAGAGAGAGAGAGCGATAGAAAGAGAGAGGAAAGCGAGAGCGAGAGAGAGATAGTGAGAGAGCGAGTGCGAAAGAGAGTGAGAGATAGGGAGGCGGAGAGTGCGAGAGTGAGAGAAAGTGAAAGAAGGATAGAGAGAGAGAGAGAGAGAGAGAGAGAGAGAGAGAGATAGAGTGAGCGAGAGCGAGAGCGAGCGAGTGGGGAGAAAACGATATCTGCACATACCCCGGATTTGGTTGGGTCCGAGTTTATGGTCCCCGCCTGGACCTTCAAGGTGTTTTTGTAGGGAATACTAAAAGTTATCGCTCGTATTCCGGAACTAACATTTCTGTAAGCCTACTGTTTCCAAACACAATGCGCGGCCGTCAACACCCATTGCTGGTTCAGGATCGTCGCACCGCATTGGGCTTTGAATTTCCTGAATTCCCTTTGTTAGCATCTTTTTCGATAAATAGCTCTAGGTTATTGTTTTTTATTACCTTGAATTTCTACCACGCTGACCCGGTAATAACCTTTTCTATTCAAACTACAACTCTCTTACCCGGTGGTCGGATCCTTCCGGTGTAGGGAGGCCATAAAGGGATATTCTTTCAGGTCGAGCACGTGGTCGCCGTGTGCGACCATTTTGAGCTGCAGTAATATTTTAATGACATTACAGAGTATTTGTAATATTTTGAAAAACCTTCTTTCTATGGCAGAAGATCATACCTCGACGATATTGAGAATACCCATAAAAAGTAAAATTTTGAAGGACATTTCGAAAGATGAGCAAATATCGGGGGCACGGTCTTTTTATATTGTAGCTACTTCATTGAAATTCCTCCCAAACTTGTGCAATTTTAAATGCAATATGCTTTTAATAACCCGCCGGGAGGTTTGTGTATTTTTGGGTCTAAGATTACGGCAATATAATTGCATATGGATTTTCATGCGGCGGGCCGAAGGGCCTATTTTTGGTACAACTACAGTAAACTACTGACTGTTATCAAAAATTGCTTACTACTACTACTACTTACGCTGCCTTAAAATGCGTATTAAGCCGGGTTTAACAAAATACATGCTTTATGTATTTATTTATAACATTAATAAGAAGTTCAAAACGAAAATATCGGCTGGCAAAGGCCCCTGGTCCCGATTTTCTTCTGGATCCAGTCGCAAAATTTCGGGACGTTAAGGTAGGCAGCTGCAAATTGTTTTTTTATGGTTCCGGCTGCTCATACCTTTCTCCTCAAAGGCGTAACTGCAGGTTCCGGGCCCATTACTGACGATACCGATGAGGATGTGCTCAATTTTCTTTTTAACCTCATACGGAAGGACCAAGGGGCCTCCGGAATCTCCCTGAAAGTGGATTTAATCGTTTAAAGGGACTAGATGGTTCAAGAATCGACTCCTCTTACCGCAAGGCAGGGGCGTAACCCAATTTTGGGGGAGGGGGGGGGCAACTCGAAAAATTTTTGTCAACCTCTCCCCGTCACCATTTTCACTACAATAACGCCGCAGGCCACAAAAAAAAATTAGGATAAAGCCTTAGCAACGCTCAAATTCATGTAAAAACATCACAGAAAAGGCGCCGCAGGCAAAATTTCATATGGAGTGGACGCACTAGTGAAAAACAGCGCCGCAGGCAAAAAAAATTTGGAAAAATAGGCTTCATAGAAGTAAAAACCGTCTTAAAAACAGCAATGAAAAATTTTTCTTGAAAAATCATAAGGGTGCCGATTTTGGGGGGGTCAGGTACAAGATCTAGAGAAATATCTAGGGAGATGTGCGTTAAAGGCAAGGTCAGCCCGCTACGCCCATCCACGTAGCGCCGCGTAGAATCACACGAGTCGATTCTACCCTTTTCTAGCCCCTTTAAAAAAAATCAGCATTATTAACTTTAACCCATCGTAAATCTAAAACAAATTTCTTTACCGGACACGGTCCTTTGAACTCCTTCCCAGGGCAGACGATCATCTCCAGCAAATCGGCTGGATACTCCGTGAGGCACGTCTCTTTGTTGTACACGTTCTGCGAAGCGTACTCCAGCTGTGAGCTTCTTCTGCCTAAGAGGCTTCACAAGTCTTTAGGTCATCTCCAAAACTTACCAAACTCATTGAGCCCCCATCCCAGCACCGTCGCTTTTTGGCCGAATTTCGGGAACTTGTCGTCCTCCGACTTTACGAGCTTTACGGGCCCGACCTCACTGCCGAATTTTAGCTGCTTGGCTAGCTGAAAGGATTAACAGGGGGCGGGGTTCGGAGGCATCCAGCAGAGCCAGATACAGCTTCAAATTCGTACGGAAAACAGCGCGAAAAATCGGACACTCAACCCCTCTCTGCGCGACATTTCAAAGGGGTCCTACCTTAATCACCGCAATGTCATTGTAGGTATAGTTGTGCTTCCCGCTTTTGGTTTTTCCAATCTTAATCGCAAAGTCCTCATGGACAATGATTTGGGAGACACCGATGGTTTGCTGAAAAAAATCTGGATTTTATATGCCGCACAAAATCCCGGATTCCGGTGACGTGACGCGGCCGCGACGTGTCTGCTAACGCAACCTTTCTTCATACCCCATGCTCCGGCTCGTCCAAATCTGCGGTGCCAACGACGACAGCAAGTTTCTTTTTATCGCTAAAACTGTATTTAAAAATTCGATTAAGTTTTACAATCCAGCCACGCAATGCCCGGCAGTGACTAGCCACTCGGCGTTCAGAATTGTCGCACCGCAGTTCGGTATCCAATTCCTATTATTGTTTTTTTCAGAAAAAAAAAGCTTTGAAAAACCCATTAATGTCCTTGACTTGAAGCGAGGCCATAAAATAGTATTCCTTCAGGTCCCAGACCATTTTCCCGTGCGCTAGCTTGTTGTGTCGCTCCTTAAAAACACGAAAGAAATTAATAGATAAACCACAACTAAATTCACCTGTAACGAAGCAATAAATGGCAGGAATAACAACCATTCGAGTAACATTTTTGAGAGTGAACGTCTAAGGCCAAAAAATTCTTTGATTTTTGTGGGGATTTTATACGCTCTGTTACATATGTATTTTGGGTTTTCCAAATGCGTCTGGTGCCAAAAATTTATTCGATGAGAATTTTTTTTTTTTTATTTAATTTTTTTTAGTGCTTTGGAAGTGTCATTCGACCCGCCTATTCCGGTTCTGAAACAAAATCGAGAATAAAAAAGAAGTAACACATTTTCAGGTCATTTTGTAGGCTTTTAAATGAGGTATGATTCAAACTACATACCAAAATACATACAGAGTTCATTCAATTTTTTCCAGATTTGTTCGTATGGACTGAGCTTGATGAGTTTGAGGTTCTCACGGAACACTCGAAGTCCGTTAGGTAATGGAAACAGCCTAAAAACGTGATGAACAAGTTCCGGAAGGGAGCATTTCGCAATAGGCAGGTGATAAGCTTTGCCTGGCTACAACACCAAAGTTACAACACGGTCATTTACAAACCTTGCTTAAAAATCCATACCTATTTGCGTTCAATATAACTTGACTACGAAGTCGCCCGTGGATACGCTCTTGCCATTGACGGATACTGGACTGGAACGGGCTGGTCGATAATGTTGTCTGGTCTTTAGGTGTCTTACGAGCAAATGCTTGGACGACCAGCTGGGACATTCTTTTGCGATAGGCTTTCGTGGCGAAGAGGACGATGAGGCAGTTGAATATCGAGTGGAAGCCGATCCACAGGGGTGATAGGCCTGCGACTGAAAGGAGATTTTGCAGGCACAATCCATAGAGAGTAAGCGATAAAGAGGAGAGAAAGAGCGAGAGAAAGCAGAGAGAGAGAGTGCGAGAGAGAGAGAGTGATAGGGAGATCGAAACCGGATATCCATGACAATTATTATACATTTCTTACTAAATAACGTCGGTTGCCATTCGGGGATCAACTCATAAGAGTATAATACGGCTAGCGTCGATGGAAATCCAATGCATGTAAGCACGCATGTTGACTAAAATACATAAACCGTGAATTTGAAATCCAAATCCCTTGCTCACCTGCGACAAATAAATTTTAGTAAAGTAGAGGTGCATCTCCCGGGTCTGTTTGCTGACATATATCGCCTTTTTGAGGAGATTACGGTAGAGTGCGAGGATGGCGATGCTTGCGTAGATGGCGAAACTTATTAAAATGACGACCATCGCAATTAGGAGGATCGTTTTAAAATAGGCCGCTTGTTCGATGATGATGATTAAACCACGACCGCAAAGAATCGGTATTACTGGACAAATCTGAAAAAAACGGCATTTTATGATTCTAGGCGTTTTATGAATGCGCCTGCTAATTGCGTAACAAGCCAGGGCCCGCCACTTGCAAGTTTTTATAATAAAAAAGCTTTTTATAACCTACCGTAAGCGAATCATACTCCCGTAACCCGCCTTGTCTATTCAACCGAATAGCTCCAACAATAAAAATCGTAGACAAAAGCAAAAACAGAATCAGCGCCAGGAATTGATAGGCCAAAAATCGCCGGGGATGATTTATAAAAATTTGCCGCCTCCTGATGATCCCTATAAAATACATCGTGGAGACGAGGGCCGCTATCGCGACGAAGTAGACGACCTTTAAAAAAAGTTCATGCGTTTTTTGGAAGCAGTTTATTACCAGAATCGCGCAAATGTGCTCTAGGGTAAATGGAAGTAGCGGCGTCACCTTGAACGCGAAAAGCGGGGTGTAGATGATGGGCTTGATGAGGGTGATCGTGGTGTCGGTGACCTGGCCGGTTACCTGAAAACATTGGAAAAAGATTTGCTTATTTTTAGCGTGTGTTTTATGGAGTAAACTAGCTTTAAAGTTTGCAAAAATCGGCAAAATCAGCCTAGAAAATCTGAGAAAGCGATCAAATTGGTGGTCGATTCGAAGAATTTTTTGCTGCATGAATATCAATAAGAAACTTTTTAGGGATATGAATCAAAAAAAAAAAATTTTAAAAAATTTAAAAAAAAAAAAAAAAAAAAAAGAAAAAA